CCGATCAGCTCGCGGAGGTTCAGGGGGCAGCACCCCTTGGCAAGTCCGAGGCAGTGCCTAGGCGGGGTCGAGGGGCAGCGCCCCCAAAGCAAAATGCAAAATTGCATTCGAAGTTGTATGTCCACCCTTGCTCGCTCGAGCGAAGGCTGCGTCTGGCAAAAAACCTGAGAAGGATGAATGTACGCTCGAGCAAAGGTTGTGTGGCTCGAGCGAAGCCACTTATGAAAAACTCGCGTTTTTGGTTCCTCGCTCGAGCGAGAGAGTCTTCGCTCGTGCGAGCTTCGCAGTCCCAGATTTCTATAAGTACATGTTTCTGTCAGATTTTAGGATTACTGCTCCAGATCTTCTGTTTGGATATTAAGGTTTATATCTGGAGATATTTTGCTAGTTTTTTTTTATGTTTAATTGAGTATTTAACTCATGGGTTAAGAAGAATACATCAAAGGTTCGTTTGTTCATTCTATATAGAAAAGAGAGTTGTTCTTCGGTGGATTCTAAAGAATTTGAGCCTGAAGCTTTGGTGGATTCTGGAGTGGCTCATCGCCAAGACAATTCCGAGGTGAAGACGGGATTGGAAGAGACACATAGGGGTTGGTTCAATTTGGGTGTGGATTCGCTAGGTAATTGAGAGTATACCTGTATAATTCCTTTATATCTTTTTAGTAGATTGTTTTGTAACTTTTGCCCGTGATTTTTTTATTACAATTGGAGGTGTCCAATTATGGTTTTTTCACGTAAAATCGTTGAGTCGTTTTGTCTTGATTATTTGATTGGGATTGTTGTTTACTGCTTAAAATTGATACATAATCACAAATCAACATTTAGAGGATTTCTAGATTTTTCAGAATCCATATGTAGATTATTGTAAAAACATGATGTCATTATATTTGTCGTCAATTTAATTTTTTTTATGTAAATAATCTATACGGAGGAGCCAAACAAAAAAATTTAAATCAACACAATATGACTCATGATAGACTTCATGTGTCCAATAGGCACTCTCCAATTCAAATAGTGGTTGGGATAGAAATAGAATCATCTCCCATGGGTTACACAACTGGAATGTGGGGGTAGGGAGTGATATATAGAAAAAAGAATAACGTTCAAGTCATGGTGATGCCTTTAACCTCTTCTCTGCTTCTGTTACACACCTATCAAAAGATTTTCTGGTAAAAAATATTTTGGGACCCATATTAACCTTGGGCAGATATAATTTCTTTATCATATTGTAAAAGCAAAAATGTGAAGTCCAGTTGTGTAGCATTAATTTCCTGTTACGCTATAGATTATAGCCACTTTTTATACATTTAAAAATAGAAGACAACCAATATTATAGTTGTGATTCACCTAATGTACTATATTATATAAATAAATAAATATAATAAATGGGGCAACAACAAAGATTTTCAAAACCTAGTGGGGAACATTTTCACTTTTTAGAAAATTAAGCTTTTTTATTTGTCGTACATTTTTTGATTTTACTAAATTTTTATAATATTTTAAGTAATTTTTTTTAATTTTTAGATGCACCTAATGTAAATACACTTAAAAAGTGTAATATTCATGAAAAAAATCTTTACAAAATTCACTAAATACCAAAAATATAAAAAAAAAATATGAAAATTCAATTCATTTTTCGTATTCTTGTGTATTTATTAATTTTTTAAAATATTTTTTTTACAAATATTTTACTTTTTAGATACATCTAGGTAAGGTGCATATAAAAAATAAAAAAAAATTGCTTGAAATTTTAAAAATATTCATTAAAAACAAAAAAATACGAAAAAAAAACCTTAATTTTTAAAAAATTGAAACCACACACACTGATTATTACTTTTTAGATCTTCTTAGACCAACTAAAGACAAAATTCAAACACAATTTGAAAAAAAATAAAATTACTAAAGACAAAAAATTTTAAAAAAATAATTTGTTTAATTGGATTCCAAACTCACCCTAAATTTTTATAACAAGTTTCATGTTTCGTGTAAAAGAAAAAATAAATTTTACAAGGAATGAAGAAAAGAGTCCCTCGTTCCACTAGGTGGCACATCCATTAAATGGGTGTTTGGAAACTGACGTTGGTTGATTTTTTGACTTTTTAAAGAAAGTATAAAAATAAATAAATTGAATGATATAATTGGGTGTTTTGACTTTTAAAATTATTTTAGTCAAAAAATGAACACCCAAATGGTGCCTAAGCGTGCACGTAGCTCACCTAGGCTTGGAACTTTCTCAAAATTTTTATGGTTTTTGATGTTTGTTAAAAGGTTCCGTAAAGACTCGATAAAATAAACCAACATATCTAATGTCTTAAAAAATATATATATAATAATCTAAACATGTATTAAAAAGGGTTATATGTTATTGGTTTAATATTTAATATTCTTTTGTGATAAGGACAAGCGTTGCAAAAATTGCCGGCACTGAAAAAGTTGTTAGAAAGTCGCCAACTGCGGATGGTGGTGAGATGAACAGATAGGTGACTAAATATGTGACATTTGAATAGATAGACGAAAAAATTCTCCAATATGTAATGTACTCCGTATGCGCTACACAAAATTACATAAGTTTTAATGAATTTACATAAATGATCTTACAAAAATACGTAAGTTGAATACAAATTCGTGTAATCATGTAACTCAAATTTGTATTCAACTTACGTATTTTTGTGAGATACCTATGTAAGTTGGTAAAAACTTACCTAATTTTGTATAGGGTTGCACATGATATAGATTGCACCCCGGAACATTGGCAAGAAAGATGACATTTATATATAGGTAAATTTTAGACAAATAAGTATCTTTTTGGACAGATGAATGCAAATATAATGTATTTAACTGTGTAGAATATGCCAATGTGATAATTAGAAAGTTCAAGTGAATAAACTAATTACATTTACATAGTGGATTTATCATCTTATTTCCAAATCAGTGCCTCTGATTAATGGACCCCCCATAATCAGAATTGAACCGGTCCTAAAGCAATCAAAAAAGACCATTCTACATCAACATTGCAAAACTGTTATAAAAAAAAAAGGCTTGCAGAAGAGACTGGATCCATGTTTAACTTTTCATCTTATTTATTTATAATTTTATTATTTTGCTGCACTGATTAATCGTATGATTAATTTATATTTTTGTTATTGATTAGTATTATTTGATCAAAGGGTAATTCAAGGAGTCCAAGCATGCAATCACTTTCAATTTTCCCAATTTTTGTCCATGATGCGAAGTCAATTCCATTGACTATATAAACCCAACAATAATATAATAACATCCGACAACCCATCCTCAAAAAATAAAAAAATAAAAAATTGACAATATGGGCATTTTACAAGAAGGCTTCCCTCAATCACAAAGAAATTTCTAACCAAAACCATGAAACCTGAGAACTGGGTCTTCAATGCAAGATTATTGCCTCTGTTTCTTTTCTTTGGACTTTGCAATTCCATTGACACCATGACTTCAACCCAACCCATCAAAGACGGTGACCTTCTAGTCTCCAATGGTGAGACCTTCGCACTTGGATTTTTTAGTCCGGGAAATGGAACATCCAATCGTAGGTATGTTGGAATATCGTACAACAAGATCTCCGAACAAACTGTTGTTTGGGTTGCCAATCGAGACAATCCAATCAATGGTATGTCCGGAGCACTGGCTATCGACCAAGATGAAAACCTTGTCATCTATGATGACAATTCCCAAAATATTGTTACTAAAACATTTTGGCAGACAAATGTTTCGGCAAGCAATTCTAATTCAGCTCAGCTCTTGGATTCAGGTAATTTGGTGTTGTTTCAAGGAGGTGATGATACCAATGGAAGTAGTAGTACTAGTAGTGTTGTTGCGTGGCAAAGTTTTGATTATCCTACTCATACTATGCTACCAAACATGAAACTTGGGCTGGATCGGAGGACCGGTTTAAACCGGCTCCTCACATCTTGGAAATCACACGATGACCCTGGCACTGGGGAGTATTCCTTCCGGAGGGACACCCGTGGGTTGCCCCAGTCATTCGTGCTCAAGGGCTCGGCCCGAATTTGGCGAACTGGGCCATGGATTGGTAACAAATGGAGTGGCACGCCAAAGTTACTTAATTACATATTCAATGTCAGTTATATTGACAACAACGAAGAGTTTTCTGTGATGTATAGTCTCATTAATGCCTCAGTCATGTCGATGATGTTCTTGGATGAATTTGGGTATTTACAACGGTATACGTGGCATGAGGACAAGGCTGTCTGGTTCATGTCAGCCCCGAAGGAACCATGTGATTTTACGGACGATGTGGTCCTTATGGTAATTGTGACCCGAACAATGGGGAAAAGTTTGACTGCACGTGCCTCCCGGGATATGAGCCCAGGTCAGCACGTGACTGGTATTTGGAAGATGGGTCAGCCGGATGCAAGAGGAAACGTGGTGGGACAATTTCCATGTGTAATAATGGTGAAGGGTTCGTTAAGGTTGCACGTGTAAAGGTTCCTGACACCTCGGAGGTGGCACATTCTGATGTCAACCTGAGCAAGGAAGCATGTGAGGACAAGTGTTTGAGAAATTGTTCATGCTCGGCTTACATTAGTGACGGAGGCATTTGCATCACTTGGTATGGGAATTTGATGGATACTAGAGTGTTCTCTAATGGCGGATCGGACTTGTACGTAGGGGTGGATGCAGTCGAATTAGGTATGTTAAATTATTAGCTCATGCTGAATTTTTAATAGTAAGTTCCATTTTTGTGCCAAGAAAAATGAACAATTGTGACCACAAAAGTCATATACAAGACAATCATAGTTAATTAAATCTCTTCATCTAATCAATTATTTTATTTTATTTTATTTCTTAAAGAGGGTTTTTTTCCACAAACTTACTTAAGTTGGGTTTTTTACACCAAAATTTATGTTGTAGAAGAAAATATGAGCTACAAGCCTACAACAGTGAGTGAGTTGTGTATGGGTTTTTTATTTTTTTTTTTTTTTAAACAGCTCAACAATATACAAAGAAGCCCAGAAGTTTACATGGAAAGGTAGTGGCCATTGTGGTGACATCTATTGTGGTCATGTCGCTTCTGATTATGATCCCCTTGGTGTGTTGGTTGGTGATTAGAAAGAGAAGAAGAGGTAAAAGAAACTGCATTTTCATTCATTTTGCATTTGTTCCTGTTAAGGTGTTTGTTGGTTTGTTAGTGTTTGTTGTTATGCTTCTTAGGCAGGCTTTTGCTTATTTTAAGGTGGTTGTTGGTTTGTAGCTAATGTCTTTGTTGTGTTATGCTTCTTAGGGAGGCTGAGCTTTATTTTATTAGGAAGTGCTAGTTACTTTTTGCTCTCAATTGCAGAACAAAACTTGACAAGCATTAAATTTTTTTGTGCTTTGTGATTGACTGAGGCAGGAGACGACATTCAAATCAGTGACGAAGAAAAAGTAGAATTATCCATCTTTGATATGGTCACCATTAGCAGGGCAACTAACAAGTTTTGTGATGCAAATAAAATTGGAGAAGGTGCTTTTGGGCCTGTTTACAAGGTAAGTTTATTCCATTCATACACTAGCTATTTTAGTGGACAAATGAAATCTTTCACAAGGAAAACATACTATAATCTTTCGCATGATGATCAAACTAAATCTTTATATTGTTTATCATAGGGCCTGCTATCAACGGGAAAGGAAATAGCGGTCAAACGGCTCTCAACTATCTCAAAACAAGGTCTTAGTGAATTCAATAGTGAAGTGGCTTTGATTGCTAAACTTCAACACCGTAATCTGGTCAGGCTTTTGGGATGTTGCATCCATGAAGAAGAAAGAATGTTAATTTACGAGTACATGCCCAATGGAAGCTTGGATTCTCTCATATTTGGTTTGCCCTCTTGACCTTCCTCTTCTATATCTTGTTTGCTTGAAATTCATATTGGACCAACCAAAGAGAAAGTATACTATGATAATGTGAGCCATGATATATATCACTGTTTAATATCACTGGGTATTCTTGTTCACTAGTTTCTTAATAATTATTCATCAAACAATGAAATTGATTACGGGTATATCCAAGTAGGTGGTGAACCAGAACAGTAAAAGAAAAAGGGAAAAGTTAGGGATCATGAAAAATTTATGATCCTTGGATTGCCTTGATTAGTGTGTGGTACTTTATTCTAAGTGTAATTCAAGGGTCACAAAACTTTCATAATTATTTTCATGAAAAATTTTTCATGATACATAGCATTGTTGAAAGAAAAATTAATGGCGTAAGTCATTTTTGAAATAGATATAAATTTTAAAATCTTGTAAATGAATGAAAACCTTAAGCCACTTTATTCAAAGCAGGTGTAGAAAGCACAAGAAGTAAATCACTCACATGGAGGAGGCGCTTAGATATTATTGTTGGGATTGCTCAAGGAGTTCTTTATCTACATCGAGATTCAAGATTGAGAATTATTCATAGGGATCTCAAAGCTAGCAATGTCTTATTGGATTGTGAGATGAATCCTAAAGTTTCAGATTTTGGCCTGGCTAGGGCCTTTGGAGGAGATCAATCATCCGCAAAGACAAGAAGGGTGGTTGGAACTTAGTAAGTGGAATACTCTTTTTCCTTGTACAAGCTTAGCTAAGAGAAGCCACAAGATTTTTGAGTACATCTCTAAAGCTTGTTTTGCACTAATTTCTAAATTGTTTGGTAATGGTATGCAACGGTTACATGTCACTGGAATATGTAATTGATAGTCTCTTTTCAATGAAATCAAATATCTTTAACTTTGGAGTAATGGTCTTAGAAAAATATCAAATCCATACTATTACTTCAATAGTAAATAGTTATCGAGAATGCTTCTATCCTCACTGTTCATCAAATTTTATAAAGCAAAATTTAATGTTTGAGGAAGAAAGGCAATTTAAACCTTTGGCAAAATATCACCGACAGTTGTACAAATAACATCAGTTATTTAAAGCCAGTAGTTTCCTTTTAAGGACATCCTGCCACATGAAAAGGCTTGTCTCTTCAATTTGAAAGAAGCGAACTGGATTGGGACACAATGATAAATCCAGGTTTTCAAATTAACCAGCTGAGCTGTTCAATAAGTAGCCAATCTGACTCTTGAAGGTGAGGGTAGAGCTTATCAACAGCTATGGCATGTTTTTAGGACATTAACTGAAACATAAACTTTAAACTTATTGACAAGTATAGCTAGTACTGTACTGCCTACATCATCACTTCTATTCAATATATACTTTGAAAATGAATTTATTTAATTTTTCTCAAGTAACTCACACAGTGTATCTAGAAAATGTTTTGCACCAAATTACTATAGAACAAAATCTAAAACCGTGGTTGGCAATCAAATTAAACAAATCAAAAAATAATTGTCGCCAACACATAAAATTCCCATCAAACTATAACTTACAGCAATGTACTTTAATACTTCTCTCATATCTTAGCCTTCTTTATAAAGGATGCATCTTCCTTTCTATCTCCATTTCGTTCAATTTACCTCTTTTTAGAACAGAAAAGAGAAATAAACATAAAAAAGAAACATACTTTAATACAACACGGAGTAGTAATAGATCGTAATGCTCTTTCCAAAACCTTCCACTCTTCAATCTTGGGAAACGAGATACTATGTCATCTGGAAAAAAGGGAGTGCCTGGCTTTTCCGATGCAGCCTTCACCTATCATTGTACAAAAAGGTTTATAGTCAAAATTTTAAATAAAATTACCACGACAGTTTTAAGATTCAATATATGATATTTCTAGATCTTCATTGAAGCAACATTTACATTTAAGGACTGCTTGATAGATGTTGAAGGGGCATACCATGATACTACCAACGGAAAGGATTATAATTTTTTAGACTTCTGTGGAATGAATTAGAATTTCAAAATTAAGGTTCTACGCATTTTTCAATCCATGCCAATGTGCATACATGGATTGCTTCAACTAAGAGTTTAGCTTATTGTAATTCTTTTTCAAATTGAATTTTTTAAATGAGAAACACCAATGCTTAAGACTCATGTCACACATCCTAGACCTATAAGTTAGGAAGTTAAAAATGGAAAAATCAGGCTTTCACCATTTAAACACTATTTGAAATAAGGAGGGATATGAGAACAACAGTCCACACAAATAATAGCTTTAAGATGATTCCCAAGTTGACCACCCTTTTAAAAATCCAAAGCTACAAAAGTACTAATGTAATACCCCTGTTCCGTAATTTGCCAATTGGTCCTTAAACTTGTCCCTTATCAGAAGTGACACTGCAATCCTACCAAGTACATCTTCTATCCTTAGTCCTTTAGGAACACCATCTGCGGCAAAATAATGAGTGAAAACAAAAAATTAATAGCAGACAAAAAAAGAAAAAAGAAAAAAAGAAGAGGCGAGAGAGAGAGAGAGAGAAATTAAGGTCGTAAAAGATGTAGAAAGAGCAGCAGAAAAACTAATTATAAGGGACAAACTGATCAGTGGGTGCACTTACTGATCACTTGTGGTAACTGATTACTAGTTTGAGAATCAATATCCATGGAGCATGGGCTTGGTATATCGAGAACCTTGGCTTCAGTCTCCGGCTCTTCAATAGGAGTCTCATTTGCTTTTGTGTCACCCTACAATAACATCAAATAATAAAGAGAAACCATATGAGTTAAGTATTGCTTCATTGCAGTTAACTAAGAATGCAATTTATGCAGTCTATTTCGCTAGCAACTCTTTCATATAGAACCATATTTAGAGTTCGTAGCGATTAACTCACATAGGAAGATGAAATAAACAAACCGTCAAACAAGAATTAGGATGGTATGCTTTTGATTTTTGGTTAACAGAAATATCAAAAAGAAAATAAACCTAAACAGAAGATAAATTGCTTCATTTTTCTTTGGTTGGTCAAAAAGTATTTTGGAAATTCCAACCAAACCATGCCAAAATATTTTTTCCAACATTAACACACCAACGAGAAGAATATGCAGGAAGTAAAACTTGTGAATGAACTTACAAAAACTTCTTTTTGGTATTCTTTGTTTAGTAATTTCTCCAGAAAAGAACCTTTTTCTTGATAAATTCAACCTGTCTTCTCTGCATCTCTCTATAATGATATAATGACGAAGAATCTTGAAATAACTGTGATCGGTTTGCAGCGTCAGGTGCTCTGTTTGCAGCATCAACTGCTAAATCGTTCCCCACAACAGTTGCCTTTGTCTCATTCATAGGAGTTTCAGCACTAACCACATTTGCACCATCTTGTGATTGAGATGCTCCTGGTACAGGGAGAGTTACAACTGGAAGATTCAGCTCCTGACAAATGACCTCTTGAACCTTCAGGTCCTTGTCATCAACAATAGCATGCCACCTTCCATAGCCATGCCTTCACATCCAACCATATTAGTTATGAACATAGATTGGTAACATCTATCATATATAAACTATGAGCACTTATCTTACGACTAATCCTATCAAAGTTTGGGCTTGTTTGGTGCAGCTTATGGAGCTTCTTATAGATTTTTTATTTTGGAAATTTGTGCCAGAATGTTTGGTGTTTGGCACTCACATAAAACATTGGGGGGTGTGACATGCTATGGAAATGTGACTTGCCCTATAGTTCTGGAAAAATAGTGCACATGACACAAACATTTACTCATAAACACACAAGTACTTCCATAGACGCATAAATTCACATATAAAAAATGTATTTCTTGTCACGTCTTTGTATTTAATCAAAATCCACTTTTGGAATTATTCAAGTTCACAAGGCTTGAGCCCATCCAATGACCATTTTATTTCCAATATCAAAAAGCAACCAAAAAATGCTTGTCAGAGAAACTTACATAAAGTCAGAAGCTCATGGTTAACAATAACATTATTAAAAATAAACATATAAATGATAACCAATACAATCAATTGCCATAGAGTGTTATCAGCAAGAGTCCATCATATCAAAGATGTGGAAGTCAACAACTATGGCATGCTTTTAGGACATTAACTGAAACATAAAGTTTAAACTTATTGACAAGTATAGCTAGTACTGTACTTCCAACATCATCACTACTATTCAATATATACTTTGAAAATGAATTTATTTATTTTTTCTCAAGTAACTCACACAGTGTATCTAGAAAATGTTTTGCAACAAATTACCATAACACAGAATCTAAAACCGTGGTTGGCAATCAAATTAAACAAATTAAAAAATAATTGTCACCAACACATAAAATTCCCATCAAACTATAACTTACAGCTATGTACTTTAATACTTCTCTCACATCTTTCCCTTCTTTATAAAGGATGCATCTTCCTTTCTATCTCCATTTTGTTCAATTTACCTCTTTTTAGAACAAAAAAGAGAAATAAACATAAAAAAGAAACATACTTTAATACAGAACGGAGTAGTAACAGATCATGATGCTCTTTCCAAAACCTTCCACTTTTCAATCCTGGGAAACGAGATACTATGTCATCTGGAAAAAGGGGAGTGCCTGGCTTTTCCGATGCAGCCTTCACCTATCATTGTACAAAAAGGTTTATAGTTAAAATTTTAAATAAAATTACCACAACAGTTTTAAGATTCAATATATGATATTTCTAAATCTTCATTGAAGCAACATTTACATTTAAGGACTGCTTGATAGATGTTAAAGGGGCATACCATGATACTACCAATGGAAAGGATTATCATTTTTTAGACTTCTGTGCAATGAGTTAGCATTTCAAAATTAAGGTTCTACGCATTTTGTTTGATGTGCATATAAGCACGGCTCTATGGACAAAGTTTTTAATTTTGCTTCCGTTTGGCCCCCATTAACTCTGTTAAAATACGTTCCCGACAGTTTGAGGCCGTAGGTAATCTCACGATTACTGGCCGGTTACGTCCTTAACCCACGGGGGCGGGTTCGGGTCGTGACAACTAACCAACCAAGTGGAACTCTTTCATCAAAGCATACAAAACTTACTTTGTCCCTTATCAGAAGTGACACTGCAATCCTACCAAGTACATCTTCTATCCTTAGTCCTTTAGGAACACCATCTGCAGCAAAATAATGAGTGAAAAAAAAAATTAATAGCAGACAAAAAAAAAAAGAAGAGGAGAGAGAGAGAGAGAAATTAAGGTCATAAAAGACGTAGAAAGAGCAGCAGAAAAACTAATTATAAGGGACATACTCATCAGTGGGTGCACTTACTGATCACTTGTGGTAACTGATTACTAGTTTGAGAATCAATATCCATGGAGCATGGGCTTGGTATATCGAGAACCTTGGCTTCAGTCTCCGGCTCTTCAATAGGAGTCTCATTTGCTTTTGTGTCACCCTACAATAACATCAAATAATAAAGAGAAACCATATGAGTTAAGTATTGCTTCATTGCAGTTAACTAAGAATGCAATTTATGCAGTCTATTTTGCTAGCAACTCTTTCATATAGAACCATATTCAGAGTTCGTAGCGATTAACTCACAATAGGAAGATGAAATAAACAAACCGTCAAACAAGAATTAGGATGGTATGCTTTTGATTTTTGGTTAACAGAATAATCAAAAAGAAAATAAACCTAAACAAAAGATAAATTGCTTCATTTTTCTTTGGCTGGTCAAAAAGTATTTTGGAAATTCCAACCAAACCGTGCCAAAATATTTTTTTCAACATTAACACACCAACGAGAAGAATATGCAGGAAGTAAAACTTGTGAATGAACTTACAAAGACTTCTTTTTGGTATTCTGTGTTTAGTAATTTCTCCCGAAAAAGAACCTTTTTCTTGATAAATTCAACCTGTTTTCTCTGCATCTCTCTATAATGATATAATGACGAAGAATCTTGAAATAACTGTGATCGGTTTGCAGCGTCAGGTGCTCTGTTTGCAGCATCAACTGCTAAATCGTTCCCCACAACAGTTGCCTTTGTCTCATTCATAGGAGTTTCAGTACTAACCACATTTGCACCATCTTGTGATTGAGATGCTCCTGGCATAGGGAGAGTTACAACCGGAAGATTCAGCTCGTGACAAATGACCTCTTGAACCTTCAGGTCCTTGTCATCAACAATAGCTTGCCACCTTCCATAGCCATGCCTTCACATCCAACCACATTAGTTATGAACATAGATTGTTAATATCTATCATATATAAACTATGAGCACTTATCTTACGACTAATCCTACCAAAGTTTGGGCTTGTTTGGTGCAGCCTATGGAGCTTCTTATAGATTTTTTATTTTGGAAATCTGTGCCAGAATGTTTGGTGTTTGGCACTCACATAAAACATTGGGGGTGTGACATGCTATGGAAATGCGACTTGCCCTATAGTTCTGGAAAAATAGTGCACATGACACAGACATTTACTCATAAACACACAAGTACTTCCATAGACACATAAATTCACATATAAAACATGTATTTCTTGTCACGTCTTTGTATTTTGTCAAAATCCACTTTTGGAATTATTCAAGTTCACAAGGCTTGAGCCCATCCAATGACCATTTTATTTCCAATATCAAAAAGCAACCAAAAAATGCTTGTCAGAGAAACATACATAAAATCAGAAGCTCATGGTTAACAATAACATTAGTAAAAATAAACATATAAATGATAAGCAATACAATCAATTGCCATAGAGTGTTATCTGCAAGAGTCCATCATATCAAAGACGTGGAAGTCAACAGCTATGGCATGCTTTTAGGACATTAACTGAAACATAAACTTTAAACTTATTGACAAGTATAGCTAGTACTGTACTGCCTACATCATCACTTAACTGAAACATAAACTTTGAACTTATTGAAGAGTATAGCTAGTACTGTACTGCCTACATCATCACTTCTATTCAATACATACTTTGAAAATGAATTTATTTATTTTTTCTCAAGTAACTCACACAGTGTATCTAGAAAATGTTTTGCACCAAATTACCATAGAACAAAATCTAAAACCGTGGTTGGCAATCAAATTAAACAAATCAAAAAATAATTGTCGCCAACACATAAAATTCCCATCAAACTATAACTTACAGCAATGTACTTTAATACTTCTCTCATATCTTTGCCTTCTTTATAAGGGATGCATCTTCCTTTCTATCTCCATTTCGTTCAATTTACCTCTTTTTAGAACAGAAAAGAGAAATAAACATAAAAAAGAAACATACTTTAATACAGAACGGAGTAGTAATAGATCCTGATGCTCTTTCCAAAACCTTCCACTCTTCAATCCTGGGAAACGAGATGCTATGTCATCTGGAAAAAGAGGAGTGCCTGGCTTTTCCGATGCAGCCTTCACCTATCATTGTACAAAAAGGTTTATAGTTAAAATTTTAAATAAAATTACCACAACAGTTTTAAGATTCAATATATGATATTTCTAATTCTTCATTGAAGCAACATTTACATTTAAGGACTGCTTGATAGATGTTAAGGGGGAGTTCAGCTTATTGTAATTCTTTTTTAAATTGAATTTTTTAAATGAAAAACACCAATGCTTCAGACTCATGTCGTGCATCCTAGACCTATATGTTAGGAAGTTAAAAATGAAAAAACCAGGCTTTCACCATTTAAACACTATTTGAAAAAAGGAGGGATAGGAGAACAACAGTCCTCACAAATCATAGCTTTAAGATGATTCCCAAGTTGACCACTCTTTTTAAAATCCAAAGCTACAAAAGTACTAACCAACCAAGTGGAACTCTTTCATCAAGCATACAAAACTTACTTTGTCCCTTATCAGAAGTTACACTACAATCCTAACAAGTACATCTTCTATCCTTCGTCCTTCTTTAGGAACACCATCTGCAGCAAAATAATGAGTGAGAACAACAAATTAATAGCAGACAAAAAAGGAGAGAGAGAGAGAAAGAGAGAGAGGTCATAAAAGATGTAGAAAGAGCAGCAGAAAAACTAACTAGAATAAATAATCACCTGAAAAGGTTGGTGAGTCAGTAATATCCTCAGCGATGTGTGTCAAGAAAAGAGTCCCATATCTGGACAACAAAGATTAACCATAAATCAATGCACCCTACTGTTACAAAATTGCAAATAAATAAATAAATAAAAATAAAAATATGAAAGTTTTCGATTAACAAAAATGCTGCAGTCACATTTTAGCATCACTACAAGTCACTAATCAAGAAGATTCCAAATATTAAGAAGATATTATATTGCGTACTCTTTAATTTCTTCGCAAGTCTTTTGCTTCAAGCGTGGCGTGAACTCTGCCCAGTCAAACTCCCCAACTCCAAATCTGTCAAACAATCTATATCATTAAAGACCAACATACGAGCACAAATATATCATTTATTAGAATACGAATAAAATAAGTTGATTCTGCATTTAAATATACATCCAAAACTAAACCTCATCATAATCTGAACAAATGCAGCCCTTTGATTTTGATTGAATCCCTTTACTCTAAATGATCTCCCTTCACCTTCCATCAAGGGAAGTGATTCAGCACTATCCACTGCAAATGATTGGAAAAAGGGCCTATGATCAAACATGATCACCAACTTCTTCAAATTATCGTATTAGGATGATACTAGTGAACTTGATTCATGGATTCTTTACGTGAACTGAGTTTGGCACGTCCTGTACTATTTTCAGCAAGCTTAAACCCAAACGTTAATGGATCCAGTAGCAGGACATCCATAACGGACGTCTGAAGGGCAGCCTGTATGGCGTCCTCAATGTTTAATTCTCCAGAGCTGTTCCGTCCAGATTGCCGTAGCTAATGGCAGAGGTTATCTTCTCATTCCTCTCCTCCGCACTCATTTCACTATAATACATACAGTTCTTCAACGACTTCCCACCATCACCGCGATCTGTTGGCTTGTAACACGTGAAGCACCAAGTCAAGAGGTGCTTCACGTGTTACAAGCCGACAGATCGCGGTGATGGTGGGAACCTCAAAGAGAGAGAGATTGAAGTTGAGGGCTTCATGGAGAGAGAGAGAGAGAGAGACAGAGAGAGAGAGAGAGAATATATTCCTATTCAACTCTTTTTTTCTCAGCAATGCTATAGTTTGTTAATGACTTGTGTACTTGTTGCTGTGAGAAGACACTGTATATATAGCATAATGGTTGTATTAGGAATTAATGTAAATAGGAATTTTGTATATATGGCATAATTGGTTGTATTAGGAATTAGCGAAAAAGGAAATACAAAGATTCCTATTTACACTAATTCCTAATATAAAGGAATTAGTGTAAATAGGAATCTTTGTATTTCCTTTTTTAGTAATAGATTTAGGGCTAATTCCTAATATAACCAATCATGCCATATATACCATATATTCTCACAACAACTACACAAGTCATCAACAAATTATAACACTGATTGTTGCTGAGAAAAAAAGAGTTGAACTGAGAATTAAAATTCAATCTCAAATTTTCAGCATTTTGGGTTTTAGATTACAAAGTTCCGCCCCTCTCCTCTCTCTCTCCATGAAGACCTAACCAATTATGAGAAGTAATTTTTACACTAATTCCTAATTCCTAATATTTACACTAATTCCTAATTCCTAATATACACTAATTCCTAATTCCTAAATCTATAACCAATTCCTAATATTTTCTAATATAATCCTTATTTTCCTCCTAAAAATCAGAGATTATTTCCTTGGTTTGAAAGTTAGCAATAATTATTTTCTGATATTTCCTTATTTTCCTGAAAATTAAAAAAGAGTATTTTCTAACTAATTGAGTTAAAAGGTTGCTATCTACTGAGAGATAGTTGAACAAAGACAACATGCTAGAATCTTACCTGACCAAAGAACAGTTGCCTTCTTGCCCTCAATGCAGTTCTCCCCGGCTACATCTCGGCATGTAATGCTAAGACTCATCCTTATCATTTCCTTAGTGTTATTTCGGACCAGAACTTCCACGGAAGCCATGTCATGCGCAAGTACAGAACCTTTAGACAAAGGGGATTGAACTTGATTCATGGATTCTTTACGTGAACTGAGTTTGGCACGTCCTGTACTATTTTCAGCAAGCTTAAAGCCAAACGTCAATGGATCCAGTAGCAGGACATCTATGACGGACGTCTGAGGGTCGCACATGAATTACACGAGGATGGGCAACCACATCTCCATGCCCTTGTTCAATTTCCATACCGTTTTCAGACACAGAATGAACAATTCTTCGACGTTACTCACGATCAAACCAGTTGCCATTTCCATCCGAACATACAAGGGGCCTACAACCAACAGAATGTGCTGGAATACATCTCCAAACACGGGGATTACACGGAATGGGGTGAATTCCGTGAGAGGAGCCACTGCGCTAACCAGAGTAACAAAGAAAATATATATCGCGATGCCCTTGCCGCCGGCACCAAGGACGAAGCACTAGCAGTGGTACGAAATGGCGATCCAAAATGTTTCTGGTTAAATTATGACAAGTTGTCATCAAATTATGACCGGATTTCATTTAATCCACCATTGCCGTATGTTCATCCATTTACAGACACAGTATGGATCGTTCCAACAGCAATACAACAATGGGTTGCAGACAATATAAGAGACAAAGCCCAAAGACCGCACAGGCCCAAGAGCATTATAATTGAAGGCCCATCTAGAATTGGGAAAACATGTTGGGCCCGGTCTTTGGGACCACATAACTATTTTTCTGGCCACATCAACCTGAGGGACCACAAGGATGACGCTTTCTACAACATAATCGATGATGTGGCCCCACAATTTTTGAAACATTGGCGCGAGTTTATTGGAGCGCAACGGGATTTTTTTTCAAATTGTAAATATGCCCGCCCAAAGAAAATAACGAGCGGAATTCCAAGTATTATATTATGCAATCCCGGAGCCGACTCCAGTTACAAAGAGTTTTTGGAAAAACATGAACACGCTGGGCTCAAAGCATGGACGATCCGAAACGCAGAATTCTATACAGTCGACGAGCCCTTGTTCGCCAGAACCAATCAAGAAGAGGCATCGTAATGCCAAGAAGAAGGCCCAACGCAGGAAGATATTCCACTTCCAATGCGGCTGTTCAATATTCCATACGAACGGCTGCGTCGAACCACATACATTGGAGAGAGAGGACGCTGTCAGGGGTCTTTTACGATACTTTGAAGAACCCGATGTGGTTCAGAGCAGTGGACATGTCCAGACCGGCCACTCAGGGGTTGTACAAAATAGAATGCCTCTTCAACTACAACCTCCGGAAAGCATTGAGAATCCGGACGTTTACCGCGACAATGTATACATGGCTAACATCCAGTGGTCGCAGAAGCCTGTCAGAGACTGTATTTACCCAGCTTATTGCACGCAGGATGACGAACAAATTATCCAGCTTTGGGATTATTAGCCCTGTAAATTATTGTCTCGCACTGACCATTGTACTCGACGAACTTTCATATTATGTAAAAGATTGGTGATGGTAAAATATTTATGTAAATTTTTATAAATAAATAAAAATGCAATTTTATTGAATTTATGTGTCTCAATAAATTCGATTTCTGAGAAGGTTTAAGCTGGATAAATGGGCTGTAATTGGTAAACAGACCAACAGACCAATTACAATAATGAGGCCCATATAATGTTTAACATGAACAATTCAAATAGGCCCAGACATATGGTACAGCAGCCCATTAGAGATAGGCCCATCAGTAAGCGGCCCATCCCAGTTGCCTTCTTGCAGTCAATGCAGTTCTCCCCGGCTACATCTCGGCATGTAATGCTAAGACTCATCCTTATCATTTCCTTAGTGTTATTTCAGACCAGAACTTCCACGGAAGTCATGTCATGCGCAAGTACAGAACCTTTAGACAAAGGGGATTGAACTTGATTCATGGATTCTTTACGTGAACTGAGTTTGGCACGTCCTGTACTATTTTCAGCAAGCTTAAACCCAAACGTTAATGGATCCAGTAGCAGGACATCCATAACGGACGTCTGAAGGGCAGCCTGTATGGCGTCCTCAATGTTTAATTCTCCAGAGCTGTTCCGTCCAGATTGCCGTAGCTAATGGCAGAGGTTATCTTCTCATTCCTCTCCTCCGCACTCATTTCACTATAATACATACAGTTCTTCAACGACTTCCCACCATCACCGCGATCTGTTGGCTTGTAACACGTGAAGCACCAAGTCAAGAGGTGCTTCACGTGTTACAAGCCGACAGATCGCGGTGATGGTGGGAACCTCAAAGAGAGAGAGATTGAAGTTGAGGGCTTCATGGAGAGAGAGAGAGAATATATTCCTGTTCAACTCTTTTTTCTCAGCAATGTTATAGTTTGTTAACGACTTGTGTACTTGTTGCTGTGAGAAGACACTGTATATATAGCATAATGGTTGTATTAGGAATTAATGTAAATAGGAATTTTGTATATATGGCATAATTGGTTATTTTAGGAATTAGCGAAAAAGCAAATACAAAGATTCCTATTTACACTAATTCCTAATATAACCAATTATGAGAAGTAATATTTACACTAATTCCTAATTCCTAATATGCAATATAATTCCTAAATCTATAACCAATTCCTAATATTTACACTAATTCCTAATTCCTAAACCTATAACCAATTCCTAATATTTTCTAATATAATCCTTATTTTCCTCCTAAAAATCAGAGATTATTTCCTTGGTTTGAAAGTTAGCAATAATTATTTTCTGATATTTCCTTATTTTCCTGAAAATTAAAAAAGAGTATTTTCTAACTAATTGAGTTAAAAGGTTGCTATCTACTGAGAGATAGTTGAACAAAGACAACATGCTAGAATCTTACCTGACCAAAGAACAGTTGCCTTCTTGCCCTCAATGCAGTTCTCCCCGGCTACATCTCGGCATGTAATGCTAAGACTCATCCTTATCATTTCCTTAGTGTTATTTCGGACCAGAACTTCCACGGAAGCCATGTCATGCGCAAGTACAGAACCTTTAGACAAAGGGGATTGAACTTGATTCATGGATTCTTTACGTGAACTGAGTTTGGCACGTCCTGTACTATTTTCAGCAAGCTTAAACCCAAACGTTAATGGATCCAGTAGCAGGACATCCATAACGGACGTCTGAAGGGCAGCCTGTATGGCGTCCTCAATGTTTAATTCTCCAGAGCTGTTCCGTCCAGATTGCCACCTCACCTTAATTTTGGAAATCAAGTATACTCTGATGAATGAATTAATAAATTGTCTTCTTTAAATAATGCATGTCAATGATATATAATGGGTTAATTTTGAGGGCGTTACAATTCATACCTTGATAAAATGTAGAATAAAATGATGCAGGTAGCATTGTATAAATAATATAGCCTCATTAATTTATACCTATATATTGATTGCACATTTCGATCAAGAGATTCTGGGATATCATCCCACTTCTACAGGCTAAATTCATACAATTACAATAGTATGTTGCAGTCATCACCATAGAAGATAAGTTAAACAAGCCTACCTGTGGAGAAATCTTGCCAACTTCAAAGTAGCCTCGAGTTCAAAGCTTAGGGGAGATACTCTACCTACCAAATAATTACAAAGATAACCATCAAGAGGGTTACATATATTATGAAGTGAATAAATAT